GTCCGGGGCTAGCAGCAGCTCCTAAGGGCAAAGAGAAAAACAGCGGCCCGCGACAAGGGGCCCTTGAGGATGGCGAGAGACTGGGGTGGCCGTCTCCAGTAAAGGCTGCAGCAATACTTCCAACCACTCATAACCACAAAGTGCCAGTCCTCATCTCACCCACTCTGAAACACGCTCCAGCAGACGTGCAGCTCATTGGCACAGACTCTCAGGGGAATAAGTTTAAGCTCTTATCCGAGCATCAGGTCACTTCTTCCGGCGACAGGGACCGGCCCAGACGGGTAAAACCAAAGTGTGCTCCACCTCCACCCCCAGTGATGAGGCTCCTACAACAGCCAGCTGCCTGCTCAGACGCAGCAGAAGAGCTGGGCAACGCGGCGGGAGCGCAGCACGGGCTGGAATCGAGCGAAGGGAATAAGAAGGCGGCAGCAGCAGCAGCAGCACCTGTTGGTGGAAAATCTGGGAGGCCGGTGATGCCTCCGCCTCAAGTGCCTCTGTCCTCGTCTTCCACCTCCCCGGTGAAAATGGCCAACGGCACGGCTGGCGCAAAAGTCGCGCTGAGAAAGACCAAACAGGCCGCCGAGAAAATCTCCGCAGACAAAATCAGCAAGGAGGCGCTGCTGGAGTGCGCAGATCTCCTCTCGAGCGCCATCGCCGAGCCGACACCCAACAGTCAGCTGGTGGACACGGGGCACCAGCTCTTGGATTACTGCTCAGGCTACGTGGACTGCATCCCGCATACGCGCAACAAATTTGCCTTCCGGGAAGCCGTGAGCAAACTGGAACTCAGCCTGCAGGAACTGCAGGTGTCCTCCACAGCTGCTGGCGTCCCTGGGGCAAACCCCGTCCTTAATAACTTATTGTCTTGCGTCCAAGAAATCAGCGACGTGGTGCAAAGGTAGCTACTGTCAATCTGGGTAAGAGAAACACACGCGGGGAGGGGGGAGGGGACACTTTTTTTCCTGTACTGATGCTTTCAAAAGGAAAGACTGATACTTGAGTATGTGAAGTACCTCAGATCACTGAGTTCTCCTCACGTTTACAGGTTCATCTCAAAAAATGGGGATGGAGAAGGGTAGATTAAAGCTGTAAGGGGCAGAACATCGAGTATTTGTCCCTACCTAGTCAGTCTGATCTGCTTGGTATGGCAAGGGAAGGAAGGAAGGAAGGAGGTTCCTTGCTCTTCCCTTGGAGAGGCAGGAGAATCGGTGGCAGGTTCTCTGGGAAGGAGGGTTTGACACGTGATAGCTGGAGTACTGGGGTGGCTGCAGGCCACTCGGCCTTACAGATCCTCCCCCGTCTGCACTAACGCGTGCTTCTGCCTCCCGACACGGCAAAGGAAAGGCGCTGGGGCTCCGGCGGAAGCAGGGGCTGAGCAGCCTGAGCCGGAGTAGCTCGGACGGGGAGGGCGCGTGCAGTTGGGGGAAGGTCTAATGCACTGACAGTATTCGGAGCTGCTGGAGGTGGATGCACTAGCCCGGCCGGCTTACTTCCACAGCGCTGTTGCTGCTGTAACGAGAACTACAAAATTAGTTAATATATGAACCTATCCCTTTTCCCTCCTGTCCACCTCATCCACCACATGTTCTCATCTTTGTTGTATCGGAAGCGTCAGGGATGCTGGGCGGACTTACCACTGGAATACCCCCTTCCCCACCACACCGCCTTCACTCAGTTGATACCTATTTCTAGTGGTCTAGCACGGGTGCTGCTTGGTGGTCATTTGTGAGTAGTTTGGGGCTCTTGCACAACTTGCCAGTGTTGTTATCGGGGTGGGTGGGTTATGGTTGGGTTTTTTTTAAGCTCTAGGTTGTTTTTAACTTGTTACTGGGTTGACTCCCCAATTCAGTTTCATCACCTTGAGGATTCCACATTCCTTTAACAGCCACAGCGCTGCGGGGCCAGACGGAGAGCCAGAAAGCACGGCCTGGCCTGCCAACCATGCAGCCTCGCTGCTGCAGGAGTCCCTGGGCCTGTTCCTACACGTGGTGTAACACTAACA